CAACTCCGCCAACCCCGCCGCCGGGAGCACCGCAGCACCCAGAGCCACAACGGTGAGCAACTCTACCGGGGGGAACTCCACACACAGCGGCGGGAAGAGCCTGTTTAACGGCTTCAATGTGGACAGCTCGATGATCCAGAGGGCCCTGTACGTCCTGATCGGTATCACCATGATCGGAGTTCTCTACTTCCTCATCCGAGCTGTGCGGTGAGTTCAGTTCACTGTTGACTCTACACCAAACTCCATTCAGATATCTCACAATTTAAAGATTACTGACTCTACACCAAACTCCATTCAGATATCTCACAATTTAAAGATTACTGACTCTACACCAAACTCCATTCAGATATCTCACAATTTAAAGATTACTGACTCTGCACCAAACTCCATTCAGATATCTCACAATTTAAAGATTACTGACTCTACACCAAACTCCATTCAGATATCTCACAATTTAAAGATTACTGACTCTACACCAGACTCCATTCAGATATCTCACAATTTAAAGATTACTGACTCTACACCAAACTCCATTCAGATATCTCACAATTTAAAGATTACTGACTCTTCACCAAACTCCATTCAGATATCTCACAATTTAAAGATTACTGACTCTGCACCAAACTCCATTCAGATATCTCACAATTTAAAGATTACTGACTCTGCACCAAACTCCATTCAGATATCTCACAATTTAAAGATTACTGACTCTGCACCAAACTTCATTCAGATATCTCACAATTTAAAGATTACTGACTCTACACCAAACTCCATTCAGATATCTCACAATTTAAAGATTACTGACTCTACACCAAACTCCATTCAGATATCTCACAATTTAAAGATTACTGACTCTACACCAAACTCCATTCAGATATCTCACAATTTAAAGATTACTGACTCTACACCAAACTCCATTCAGATATCTCACAATTTAAAGATTACTGACTCTACACCAAACTCCATTCAGATATCTCACAATTTAAAGATTACTGATTCTACACCAAACTCCATTCAGATATCTCACAATTTAAAGATTACTGACTCTACACCATACTCCATTCAGATATCTCACAATTTAAAGATTACTGACTCTGCACCAAACTCCATTCAGATATCTCACAATTTAAAGATTACTGACTCTACACCAAACTCCATTCAGATATCTCACAATTTAAAGATTACTGACTCTGCACCAAACTCCATTCAGATATCTCACAATTTAAAGATTACTGACTCTACACCAAACTCCATTCAGATATCTCACAATTTAAAGATTACTGACTTCAAACCGAACTACATTCATATTTGTAGGGAATCTGTAAATTAAAGAGAATAAGCTTCAGAGTACTGGATTTCTGAATGGAGTTTGGTTTAATCTATCAGGATGTTGTTGTGTTGGTGTTTACTACACAAACTAGAACTTTATATTACACCAAACCTCATTCATAAAAGTATCAATTTAACACTTCCTCCGTACCAGAAGGTGTATATGCTGTAAAAGTTGATTTATGCACTTATGTATAATGTTAGTGTCTACTGTTCAATTTGGTACACATCTCATATTCAGACAGATGTGTAGTAGTAGTTCTACAGTACTGCCTCAAATGTGTTTACAGCACTGCTTTACGCAGGAAATTGCCAGATATATAGCTAACTGATTATTTATTTATAATTATTATTTCAGGTATTCTCAGATCAGATGCCAGTTGAACTGAAACAAGGCTCTTACAGCTTTATAAAAACATATCAGTCACATTTTACACAGTATGTTCAACTGTTGGTGAGAGAATAATTAAATTGTTAGATTTATGAATGGAGTTTGTTGTGGCGTTGGTCTACATACGGGAGGAAGGCCAGATGTATATTAATTATGAAGGTAATGTCAAATAATAACAACCTCACTGTGACTTGTTAACAGCAGATGGATGGATGGATGGATGGATGGATAGATAGAATATAAGTACATTATATAGTATACATATAACCTGAACTGTCAGCACATGAGAGCAGACATCACACCAAACTCCATTTAAAATCCAGCCAATTTAATACTTTCTCTCCTACTCTGTAAAATGTGGGTAATGTGTTTCTAAAGCAGCTGGATTAACTCTGAACTTCTGCCAATCCTCTTTTACCAATGCAACATTTATTGCAGCATTTAGTTAACAATTATTAATGTATCAAATAAGATAAGATAGAAAGTAGAAGCAATCATTGTTGATTAAAATCGTATCGGTGCTAACGCTGCATCTGCTTGTAAATCACCATAGAAGAAGAAGGTGACTCGTTATTACAGATAAAGTGCACAGCGGTAACATAGTGTGTAAACAACATAGTGTGTAAACAACAACAGCTTTCAGTCTGATGCCTTTAGCTTTATCAGTAATAATCTGATTTGTATTTTCCCGCTCTCTCCCGCTGTCGACAGGCTGAAGAGACCCGGCCAGAGGAAGAAGTACGGCCTGCTGTCAAACTACGACGACTCCGTAGAGATGGAGGCGGTGGAGAGCGACGAGGACGACACGCTGTACGAAGCTCGCAGCCTCCGCAGGTCAGAAGTCAACAGCAACGCCACAGCCGGACCTTAGCTCAGCTTTAGTTAGCTAGCTGGATGGTTATTAAGGTTATCAGTAATCCAGTGATCGTTGTCTGTACATCCACGAGTTCATGTTAACAGGAGCTGAGGGGTATCGCACAAAAGTAGAATAAAGAAATCCAGGATAATTGAGCAATTGACCTAGCCTACTCGGCACATCCTGGCTTAATTGGTTGCACGATTGCCGAGCCAGAATGAAAAGGCGCAGCTATGTTAAGCCAGGTGTAGATAGTAACCACAGACTGTAACCACAGACTGTAACCACAGACTGTAAACACAGACTGTAAACACACAGACTGTAAACACACAGACTGTAACCACAGACTGTAAACACAGACTGTAACCACACAGACTGTAAACACACAGACTGTAAACACACAGACTGTAACCACAGACTGTAACCACAGACTGTAACCACACAGACTGTAAACACAGACTGTAACCACAGACTGTAAACACACAGACTGTAAACACACAGACTGTAAACACACAGACTGTAAACACACAGACTGTAACCACAGACTGTAACCACAGACTGTAAACACAGACTGTAAACACAGACTGTAACCACAGACTGTAAACACACAGACTGTAACCACACAGACTGTAAACACACAGACTGTAAACACAGACTGTAAACACACAGACTGTAACACACAGACTGTAACCACACAGACTGTAAACACACAGACTGTAACCACACAGACTGTAACCACAGACTGTAACCACAGACTGTAAACACACAGACTGTAACCACAGACTGTAACCACACAGACTGTAAACACAGACTGTAACCACACAGACTGTAACACACAGACTGTAACCACACAGACTGTAACCACAGACTGTAAACACACAGACTGTAAACACAGACTGTAAACACACAGACTGTAAACACACAGACTGTAAACACACAGACTGTAACCACAGACTGTAAACACACAGACTGTAACCACAGACTGTAAACACACAGACTGTAAACACACAGACTGTAACCACACAGACTGTAAACACACAGACTGTAACCACACAGACTGTAACCACAGACTGTAACCACAGACTGTAAACACACAGACTGTAACCACACAGACTGTAACCACACAGACTGTAAACACAGACTGTAACCACAGACTGTAACCACAGACTGTAACACACAGACTGTAAACACAGACTGTAACCACAGACTGTAACCACACAGACTGTAAACACACAGACTGTAAACACACAGACTGTAAACACACAGACTGTAACACACAGACTGTAAACACCACCACACAGACTGTAACCACACAGACTGTAACCACACAGACTGTAACCACACAGACTGTAACCACACAGACTGTAACCACACAGACTGTAAACACAGACTGTAAACACACAGACTGTAAACACACAGACTGTAACACACAGACTGTAACCACAGACTGTAACCACAGACTGTAACCACAGACTGTAACCACAGACTGTAAACACACAGACTGTAAACACAGACTGTAACCACAGACTGTAACCACACAGACTGTAACCACACAGACTGTAACACACAGACTGTAACCACAGACTGTAACCACACAGACTGTAACCACAGACTGTAACCACACAGACTGTAACCACACAGACTGTAACCACAGACTGTAAACACACAGACTGTAACCACAGACTGTAACCACAGACTGTAAACACACAGACTGTAACCACAGACTGTAAACACACAGACTGTAAACACACAGACCGTAAACACACAGACCGTAAACACATAGACCGTAACCACAGACCGTAAACACACAGACTGTAAACACACAGACTGTAAACACACAGACTGTAAACACAGACTGTAACCACACAGACTGTAACCACACAGACTGTAAACACACAGACTGTAAACACACAGACTGTAACCACACAGACTGTAAACACACAGACTGTAACCACACAGACTGTAACCACAAGACTGTAACCACACAGACTGTAAACACACAGACTGTAAACACACAGACTGTAACCACACAGACTGTAAACACACAGACTGTAACCACACAGACTGTAACCACACAGACTGTAACCACACAGACTGTAAACACACAGACTGTAAACACACAGACTGTAACCACACAGACTGTAAACACACAGACTGTAAACACACAGACTGTAACCACACAGACTGTAACCACACAGACTGTAACCACACAGACTGTAACCACACAGACTGTAACCACACAGACTGTAACCACACAGACTGTAACCACACAGACTGTAACCACACAGACTGTAACCACACAGACTGTAAACACACAGACTGTAACCACACAGACTGTAACCACACAGACTGTAAACACACAGACTGTAAACACAGACTGTAAACACACAGACTGTAAACACACAGACTGTAAACACAGACTGT